CAGAGCTGTAGCCAGAGCAGCACAACCTTCATCTCGAATACAGCAGTATTCCAGTCTGCGGGGGGAAGAACAATTTCTTAAACAGACGGAGAAGGGAAGCCACATGAGGGCCATTTGATCTTTACTACATTGGCCATCTGACACCCCTAATGAAGGCTCATAGAAAGTAACCTATTCATAAAATCAAGATTTACTTGTAAAGATGAAAATACATTTGTATAGCTCTGACTGATTTTAAATTGTAAACTTGACCTCCTCTTAAATGTGTCATACCATTGACATTACCTACACTGTTAGACATTTCAAAGGGTTTTTACAGTAATTAAGATTTACAGTAGCAAACTGTATTTGGTTTACAGTTGCAAACTGTACTTTTTACAGTAAATAACTGTAGAAATTACAGAAATGTCTAACAGTGTAAGCAGTTCTAGAAAACTCTAGAAAATTCCACTCATTCAAGGACGTGCATTTATTGCATGGACAGAGAAAAAAACATAACCTAAGTTTCTAAAATGTAAATGCACAGTTCAGGAAAAATGAGCAAGAATGAGGGAAAAAAGTAGTATATTATTTTAAATTAAAATAATAAAAAAGACGCTTAAAGTTTTACAGAGGTGTATCATAAAATGTTTGGCATTACATAAATGTAATTATTAAGACTAATCGATAAGACACCATGAATAAAAAAAAGAACAAAGAGGGTAGTTTTTTACCATTTAGTGATGAAAAGTTAGTTTAGGATAAGTTGGATATATGGAAGCACTGGAAAACGTTTTGCAAATATCTTTTGCAAATAAACATATTTGCTGTTTATTAAAATGTATTGGTAGCCGTGTAAATATAAATATGTTATAAAAATGTCACTCACTGTAGTTTCTTAAGTTTGCACTGTGGATCCTCCAGTACACCACAGAGCTGCTTTACTACGGAATCTCCTGGATAATTATAGCTCAGATTGAGTTCTCTCAGGTGTGAGGGATTTGATTTCAGAGCAAAAACCAGAAAAGCACAATCTTCCTTTCTAATACGGCAGTTAGACAACCTGCAGAGACAAAGAAAAAAACTTCTGAACTGTGTAAAGCTTAAAACACACATAAATTAAAGCTGAAGTGTCACCATGTGGAATTGTAAAAATAATTATAGGTTTCTCAAACACTTTTTCCAAGCAAACAACTTGACATCAGGGATATCACTTACATAGTTGTGTGCATATTAACCTGAGATATGTGAAAGATTTTGAATGTCGTAGTTCGTAGCTCTGTTTAAAATTTAAATTGAATTTAATCACCAAGTTAGAAGGTTCCCTGTATCCTGCACCACTTTTCTAAGCTGCCGCTGATGAATCTTCAGGGCCGTGGGTTGTGAATGTGAGTTTACATTTTGTACTGAATGTGATGCAATAATAATAACAGACAAACATATGGTGCTTCTCATTTCTTAAATTTTGCATGCTCATTTCCTCGCTCCTCCGCCCTCAAACCTGCGACCTGGAAACATGTTCAAAGTCCACCACGAAAAGGATGTTTCAATTGTCTTATAACACCACGAGGAGGTGAAGCTTACCAAGGATACTTGAGCAAGGAAACAATGGAGCATCCTTTGCATGCATAAATTCTTCAACCCATTTACCTGTCACAGTAGCTTCAATTCATGTTTGGTTTAAATAAGCAATACATCTTACATATTTCAATAGGCATGTGCGGGGGTAGTCTTAACCAATAAGCGAGATAAGTGGTGGCTTATGGCCCCAAGGAATCAGGGGGCCCCATCTGATATTGGCGAATGATATGCGATCCAGTGCATATTTGTGTTTGCACTTTGGAGAGCCTCAAATGTTTCTATTTAAAATGTGTGCGCAGCATTGTGCAATGTATCCAATCACAGACATATCTGTTGATTTCCTGAATGCAATGGCCAATCAGAGGCATTTGAGTTAGAATCCACTCAATGCTTGAAACGCCAGAGTTTTTGTTCATTGCCGAGTTACCCTCACAAATCTTCTCATTATAGCAAACAAAGTGTACACAAGTGTATAGATTCAGTCTGTAGTGAAGAGAGCTTTATTGATTATAACAGAACTATGTAAGAACGCGATCAACTGTAGTGAGTAACCCCTTACGAAAAACCATGGTTTGATTGTAGTAAAAGTAGTAGTAGTAGCCATGTGTTGTTTTTTTGGTGGATTGATTACCATTTGTACAACCCCAGTTTTACTACATTTTAATCTCTTGTCTTCAGAATCAGAATCAGAATGAGCTTTATTGCCAGGTATGTTTACGCATACGAGGAATTTGTTTTCGTGACAGAAGCTTCCACAGTGTAACAGAATGACAGTGACAGAACAAAAAACACAGATAATAAAAAATAAAAAATAGAATAAGTAAATAAGGAATAAAAATATATAAATCGACAATTGTTTGTGCAGGTATATTACAATAGACAGTTTTGTATGTACAGGTACTGTATATTATGTGCAAATTTGAGGTGTAGACCGAGTATGAGTGTTAGATAAATAAGTGTATGAGTGAATAAATAGTGTGTGTTCCACTGCGGAGCACGCCACGGAGGCAGCCATCAGCGTCGGCGCCATCTTCGATGTCTTAATTGTCTTCCTTGAAAACACTGTGTAAACACTTATGGTGCAGGGTGAAAATGTATAAATACCTGGCCGTGTGCCGTGACTATATTCACAATAATGCATGGCCTCTTGTTCCTTATTGGTCAAATAAAGTATCACTCACTGTAGTTTCGCCAGTTTAAAGCGTGGATCCCTCAGTAGATCAGAGAGCAACCTCACTTCAGAAACTCCTGGATCATTTTCATTAAGTTCGAGTTCTCTCAAGTGTGAGGGGTTTGATTTCAGAGCTGAAATCAGAGCAGCAAAACCTTCATATCTAATACGGCAGTGAGACAGCCTGCAGAGAGAAGGACAAAAACATTAAATAACAGTTATGATACCTTACAATGATGCTTCACAAAAGTATAAGCTAGATCATGTCCATTCATTTATGTAATTTTACATTTCAATTATTTATTACGATACTAAAATATCATCACTCACTGTAGTTTCTCCAGTTTACAGTGTGGATCCTTCAGTAGATCAGAGAGCAGCCTCACTTCAGAATCTTCTAGATCATTTTCACTCATATTGAGTTCTCTCAGGTGTGAGGGGTTTGATTTCAGAGCTGAAATCAGAGCAGCAAAACCTTCATTTCTAATACAGCAGTGAGATAACCTGCAGAGAGAAGGACAAAAATGTTATATAACAGTCATGATACCTTACAATGATGTTTAAAAGCCTGAACATGTTAATGAAATGACCTAACTTTACTTTTGAATTATTTATGATGTACTAAACAATATCACTCACTGTAATTTCTCCAGTTTACAATGTGGATCCATCAACAGAGCAGAAAGCAGCTCCACTTCCGTATCGCCTGGTGCAGTATTATTCAGATTCAGCTCTATCAGGCTTGAGAGGTTTGATTTCAGAGCTGAGGCCAGAGCGGGACAATCTTCAAATCTGGAGGAATAGAGTCTGCAGTTAAGGACATTTCATTTTGAACATTATCAGTTGGTGCTTATAAAACGGAGAGTTCCGGTCCTTGATTCTGATTGGTTGAGCCGCGTGCGAAGCTGTTGTAAATGACACTACAAACATACACCTTTGTTTACTTCTGTGTGTTGCTCAGCAACCACTTTGTTGGAACCACAACTGTTTCTGAGGAACTACATTGTTTGGTGGAAGAATACTGTTTTTATTTATATCATTACACTTTATTTGCTCTGTTTTATTCTGTGAAACCTTACTACGTATATGGAATCACCGTTTTATAACTCCGCTTCGCATCGTGCCTAACGACGCCCCTTAGCTGTTATAAATTCACCGTAAACCACGGCTTCTTGGGGCTTATTGCTTTATTAGCAACTACTTCTAGAGTATACTCAGGACTGTAAATGGGCTTGTATTTGGGCGTGCCTGCTTTAGTGCTACTTTTTATTAAAACTAGACAGTTTTATTTACCACTAGGTGATTACGTGTAACAGTGATGTCCAATCCTGTTCTTGGAGGGGCACCTTCCTGAAGATTTCTAGTAATACTGAAGACCATGATTTGCTGGTTGAGGTGAGTTTAATTGGGTTTGGAGCTAAACTTTGCAGGACAACGGCCCTCCAGGAGCAGGACTGGACACCCCTGAACTAGAAGAATAATGCTACAGTTTTGTAGTGTGGTTCTCTAACACAACAACAGTATCAGCATGCTAATATAATTCTAAATGTTTTTCGTGAAGATGGTTAAATCCCATTCAGCACAACATCTATCACTCACTGTTTACGCTGTGAATCTTTCTGTAGGTCAGAGAGCAGGTTTACTCCAAAATGTCCTGTTTCATTGTAGCTCAGATCAATCTTTCTCAGGTGTGAAGGATTTGATTTTAGAGCTAAAACCAGATCAGCATGACCTTCTTCTCCAATTCTGCACCAGGACAACCTACAGATAGCAGAAGTTATTGCTGTATGGCTGTGTTATGTGTGTATTATAAGCACCAGACAAAAAAAATGCCTCTGGCTCCAAAAATTAAACATTTAAGGACCAAACTACTTTTTATAGTTGATAAATCACTAAATCGTTTGATAAAGATGGCTATTTAGAGGTAGGCCTACTTAAGTTCACTGAGTGCAACAACAGTCACTGCTGTGTGCTGTGATGAAGGGATGTACATACTACATATATTGTGATGGTTTAAGAATTTTTTTAATTCGGGTCTTAGCTTAAATTAAACATCTGGAAATAGTTTCTATGCTTCATGTCTCACTGCCTGAACTCTCAGTCAGATGACAGCTGAGGCAAAAGGCGATAGAACAGCTGATAGATAGAATAAAATGATAGTTATGAATGTGATGGTAACCCTGACTTCTATAATCATTTTTATGATTCTATAATCATTCATTCTGAATGGTAAATTATTACACTTACCATAGTTTCTCCAGTTTACAGTGTTGATCCACCAGGCCAGCACAAAGCAGCTTCACTCCTGAGTCTCCTAGTTTATTAAAGTTCAGATTGAGTTCTCTCAGGTGAGAGGGGTTTGATTTTAGAGCTGAAGCCAGAGCAGCACAACCTTTCTCTCTAATATCGCAGGTGGAAAGCCTGTAGCACAAACAAAGCAAAAATCATTCTTAACATTTTTTATTTTTTATTATAGCATTCAATATAATCACATGTGTATGTTGGAATTTAATTATCATTTAAGCTGGAGGAAATTTTACACAAAGGATATTTTACCCATGATCAGTGTCATCTGTATTAAATTCATAGTGTGTCATCAGGCCATACAGATGCGTTTATTTTAACACAAAATAAGCATCAATCCATCCATTCTCCAAACAGTTTAGCATCTCAGCCTTAAGGTGGCGAATACCCTGGACGCATGGCCAGTCCATCACAGGACTCTCTCTCTCTCTCTCTCTCTCTCTCTCACACACACACACACACACACACACACACACACACCAAGACTTCACCCTGTGGTTCATGTTCAAAACACACACACGGCTTCACCCTGTCAGTGGTTTTGGATCATCCTTTACAAAACCAACACACATACAGACTGTCAGGCCGCTGTAGCAATCACACTTTGATTAACAGAGAAACAGCTCATATCTATAGCTATGAGCACTCAAAAATGAGAAATTTAGTGTTTATGTATTCAAATTTGAAAATTTCCATCCACTTTGGTGACACATTTTGACAAACTATAAACTTAATTTAATGCTCATTTGTCAGTCATATATAAATGCAACGGATAAGTTTTTGCACCAAAAAAAAAAAAATCACTGCA